GGTAGGACTTACAATCAATGTTTTAAAATAAGGCTGGTGCTTTGAAAACAATGATCAGAAACGATGAAATACAGAACAAACTAGTTAAAAAATACCCAATGAATATTCAACTTCCCAAGATTAAATGAAAATAAAAGTTCCAGTGAAGGGTACCAAGCAAAAAAGACTTGTTTCATATTTGAATATTGTCCTTTTGAAAATTAATTTTCTCTCCTGGCATGCTTAAATAAATCAAAGGTGTTCTTTTGCATTTGAATAAAATATCGTATTTCTATTATGTTTTGTCATCCAGTGCCTTGTTACTATTCTTGCCTCAATGTGCAGGTTACTATGACAGTTTTTGATCAAGAGTATCATGAAGACAGAGAAAGTGCTATCTTTGGCCTCTATTAAAATACATATCACAGTGTCAGCTACAGAGCCAGGCTATAATAATAAATACCACATAAAAAATGCTAAGCTTTACTCAAAATGGCCCTAAGCTTGGATTTCCCAACCTGTAAAACATCAGTGTCAGAATGTTAGATTAGATCTTTAAGGTCCCTTCCAGCTTTAACAGTTTGATTCCATATGGTAACATGATTTTAAATTAGTTAGCCTGTAGATAATCCTAGGAGTATGTCCCATATAGCATTGCTATGCTTAGATTTCTACGACATCTTCCTTTGTTCAATGTCTCTAACATTTGGTTTATAGACTTTCTCTTTGGGCCTTATCATACTTGGTGACTTTAATATTCATATTAATGGCCTGATACCTTGGTCTGTCAGTTCCTTAAGCACTTTGACTCTGATGGCTTCCTTCCCTACTCATTCTCAACCACCTACATAGGATGACCACAATATAGATTTTACCATCATTTGAAAGTGCCCAACTTCCAAGAATGAAATTCCTTTCTCTCACTCTATTGTTGGTTCACCACTCTCACATCCCCATTCTTTCCTCTTATACTCACTCTCATTCATGCTTTTCATCCTCTGCTTTTTTCTTCTCCAAGCCCAATACCCTTGTTTAAACTTTACTTGCTTGTTTCACAGTCTTCACCCTCTGGTGAGTCATTTCAATTACATACATTTCTCTACACTTGAACCTAATTGCCTTCTTGATCTTCCAATGTTTCTTTTCCCCTTTTCCCCAGTGCTGTATAATCCCTGGTCTGGGAGGGAGGGCATCTCCAGTCTTCCTGGTCTATATCTTGCCACTGGACCCAGATGGCTCCAGAGGAGAGAGTAAGACTGGTGACTTTGCACAGTTCTCTCTCTCACTTAAATCCAATTTACTTGCAAATCATGGCATCACCTTCCTTATGTCATGGTCCTCTTCAAGAATGAAGGACAAACAAGTGAGTAGTAGTAGCTGCCCCACTGGGGAATCAACTGCCAGTTCTGACTGGGCAATGCAGCTCCTTCTTTCCCTTTTCTCCCTCTGTCCACAAAGGGTATATACTTACCTTTGAGTGCTGTGCCCAAAGGAATATAAATTTTGATCACTGAAACCTTACAAGATATCTTGGGGCTTACAGGCTAGATTTCTTTCTTAAGGACCATGCCTTAAACCCAAATCACTCTCTGGGTCTCATTTATTGACCAACAATAAGTCCCAACCCAAGCCCTCCTTGGTTATCATTTGGGCCCAGATGGCTCAGAGTGAGTGTAAATAGAAATTGTTTCTGTTTTGGCTGGAAGCCCTGAGAGTCTTCCCCTCCCAGACTGATTTTTTTTTTATTTTGACTAGGTAAAAGAGGCTATTCTTTGCCTCATCTCTTTTCTAACCTTAATCACTGAATGGGTATTGCCTCCGTCAAACAGACCTGAGAAAGACAGTGTAGAAAGGCCAAGGTCTTCCACTTATCCGGGGCCATCCCCAGTTGTCCTAATCTATATCTTGCCACTGGATCCAGATGGCTTCAGAGGAGAGAGTGAGGCTGATGACTTTGCAGGACCCTCCTTCGTTTAAATCCAATTCACCTGAAAGTCAAGTCATCATCTTCCTGATGTCTTGGTCTTCTTCCAGAACAAAGGACAAACAAAAACAACCACCCCTGGTCTATCATCTTCTTTGATTCCATCCCTGAGCAATAGAATGCTCGAAACCTTGTTGATTAGGTCGTCTACAAATTATTCTAACTTTAACTAGAATCTCACCTCTGCTGAGCAATCATTTTATTAATCGGTTATTAATCTGCTAGCACATTATATTCCCTGTACTATTTGCTCCAGACCTCCTCTCTCCTTAAGCCTCTAAATCCACCCTGTTATTTTCTGAGGTAAACGTCTCACCTCATCGAGAAAAGTGAAGGCAACCTTTGTGAATTTCCTTACCTGTTCTTTTCCACAATTCTAAACCTCTTCAGGTCTTCTTCCCTGTCTTTCCCCTTCCTCTCCTTCTCAAAATGAACCCCTTTGCCTGTCAGCATCATCCCATCCTCTTTCAACTCCTCCAGGACCTCACCCTATCAATCTCTACAACCTCTTCCACTCCATCCCTCACTTCTTCAATCTCTGTCTTCTGGATATTCCCCAAGGTCCTGTTCTTCCTCTTCTATTTTCTCTTTGCACACCCCAACACTTGACAATTTCATGCACACCAACGGCTTCAATTAAGGTTCAATTACATCTAAAAAGATGACTCCCACATCTGTATGGCCAATCCTAATCTCTTCCTTGAGCTCTAGTTCCACATTTCAAACTTCAGGTTGGACATTTAGAGATCCTCACCAGGATGTCCTGTCTTACCTCAAACTTAATCATTTCCAAACTAAATTAATTGTGCTTCCTCCAAAAGAAGCTTCTTTTCCATTTGTGTTAATGACACCACCATCTTCCCAGTCTCCCAGCTAAAAACTTCAGAGTCCTTGAATTTTTCTCTCTCTGTCCCAGCCCAATCCATTAAGTGGCCAAGCCAAGTCCTATCAATTCTCCCTGGAAACAGCTGTGTTCCTTCCCTCTTTCATGGCTATTATGCTAAGTCAAGGTCTTATTACTTCTAACCTGGACTACTGTAATGCTCTCCTAATTAGTCTTCTGACTTCAATTTCTCTATTCCAATTCATTCTTTACCGTAAGGTCTCTATAATCTTTCTAATGCATATAATCATGTCACTCTTCCACTCAAAAATCTTTGGTGGTTACCTAATGCCTATTGAGTAAAGTGCAACTGGCATTTAAGGTCCTCCAGAAACATATTCAATTCAATACATCCAAAACAGAACTTACTATCTTTTCCCCAAGATCTACTTTTCAAAACTTCCTTATTTATGTCAAGGGTACCACAGTGTGTCCAGTCAATAAAGTTCACGACTGTGACTTTATGATTGCCTCCTCCTCCGGTACCCCACAAATTCAGCCAGTTCCAAAATCTTTTGGCTTCCACTTCCACATTATCACTTGCATCCATTACCATTTTCCTGATGACCCAGCCAACACACTGGTTTAGTCCATCATGATCTCTCACCTGGACTATTAAAATGACCTCTTAATTCATACAAAAAGTGATTTTACAAAAGTGCAGATTTGACAATGTCACTCCTTTACTTAATCAATTCCGATGACTTCTTCTTGCCTTGAGGATAAAATGTAAACTACTCTGTTTTTCTTTTAAAAAACCTTCAGAACTCGATGCCAATCTACCTTTCCACTCTTACTATACATAATTCTCTTTTCCATTCTCTGTGGTCTAGCCAAACTGATCTTTTCATTCTTCACGCACAATACACCCAATTTCTATCTTCATACATTTATCTTTATATTGACTGGCCCCCATTGCTCACTTCTGTTTTTTAGGATCCCTTGTTTCCTTCAAAATTAATTTCAAGCACCACTTTCTATGGGAAGCCAGCCTCCCCTCCCCCTCAATTACCTTGTATTTGTATGCAATTATATGTATACATGTCTCCTCCAATTGTACAATGGAACAGTACATTGAGAAGAGGAAGTTCCATTTGCAAAGTTCTCTTTGTATCCTGAGCTCCTAGCCTGGCCCATAGTAGATGCTTAATAAATGCTTGTTGACTGACTTATTGAGATATCTTCAGCTATACTCTTTTCTTTGCTCTATCAATCAACCAATCAACATTTTTTAAGGGCCTGTGTGTTATGCACTGTGCTAAATACTGGAGGGGGAAGGCAAAAACAAAAACAAAACAAAAAATTAGTCTCTGCTCTCAGTGAGCTCACAATTGAATGGAGAAGACAACATGCCACAACTATATAAATAGGATAAACTGGACATAATCGATACAGGGAATTAAGGAGAATAGACAAAGGTTTCTTAAAGAAGGTAAGATTTCATCTGGAACTTAAAGGAAGCCAGGGAAGGAAGCTAGGAGACAGAGATGTGGAGTAGAACCATTCCAGGCATGGGGAAATGGCCAAAATCAGGAGATGGGGTGTCTTTTTGATCGTCTTTACCACTAAAAGTCTCTAACATCCAGTAAAAAAGCACTAGTTATTTTTGAAAGTTCCTTCCATAGCAGAGGAAATAAAGCCTCTTCCTTTGACAATGCTCCTAAGTGGGAATGAGATCAGAGGGATGATGCATGAGGCTATCTCCTATGGACAGAGGGATTATTGATAACATGGGAACCTCACTAGATAACTTCACCTTTGAGGAATTTATGTCTTATTTCATAGGCGATAGGGAGCCACTGAAAGTTTTTGGAGTGGAAGGAATGCCAGCGTCGGGATGGCCTTATCACTCGTACCAATATGCAGACAGTAGGGTGAGGACGCTGAATTAGAGAGGTGGGTAAACCGGTTGAAAGAACTGCTGGGGAGGGGGCTGCTCTTCCAGGAATAGGGAAAATTCTTAGCCTCTGGTGTTGGGATTTACAGTTAAAGTGGCCCCAGGCGGGGAGGAGTGTGTGCTCGGGTTAGAGAGAGGAAGGGAGGGAGGAAACCTGGGGAGTTCAAGAGGTGGGAGTGGAAGAGCCAACTTCGCCCTGGGCTGATTGGCTGCGAGACCCAGCCCTCTGCTACTAGTTTAAAAGAGTTGGAGAGGCCAGAGCTCCGGCTGCCAGTGCCCTTAGAAGGAGGAGTCGCGGACCCCAGTTTCTCCGGCTCCCCCGCTCTCTTGTGACCTATCCCCGCCTCCACTCTTGCAGTTGCTTTTGAGTTTGCCGCGGAGGAGGAGGTAGGAGGAGAGGTAAAAGGCGGACGCGGTTCGCGTAGTCCCGGGTGCCATGCGCCGCGCGAGCCGAGACTACACTAAGTACCTGCGAGGTTCGGAGGAGATGGGAAGCGGCGGCTCCGGCGCCCCCCACGAGGGTGCCCTGCACCCCGCGCCACCCCAGGCCCCGCACCAGCCCCCGCCCGCCTCTCGTTCCATCCTGGTGGCCTTCATGGTCCTGGGGCTGGGTCAGGTCGTCTGCAGTGTCGCCTTGTTTCTCTACTTCAAAACCCAGGTGAGTGCCCGCCTGCACCCGGCCGCCCAGAGAGTGCGTCCTGCCACTCGGACCCTCTGTCTCATTCCATCACTAACCCTCTCCCGAATCCCCAAGGAGCTGAAGCGGCCCCTCAAAGGAGTTTGTTAGATCTCCTCCCTTTTTATTCTCTTCTCTATCTACTGTATTGGAATTTAACCTTCCTCTGAGCTCCACCTTTTTCTAATCCAGGTAGTGTTGGACAGAGGACAGAATTGCAGTGACTTGAAAGCCAGCTGTTGACCGCTGGCTTCTGCATGCTAGGAGCCTGAGGAAGGAGGGAACTCGTCATTTGCCCACCATTTCTTCCCGTACTACCTGTGTCCCAGAGCTTAGACTCACCTAGTTTGAAATGTCCCTTCCTCCCCCCACCCCACTCCCCATCTTCCCCATTAATAGGAAGTTTTTGCACTCCTCTCTCTCTCTCTCTCTCTCTCTCTCTCTCTCTCTCTCTCTCTCTCTCTCTCTCTCTCTCTCTCTCTCTCTCTCTCTCTCTCTCTCTCTCTCTCTCTCTCTCCCCCTCTCCCTCTCCCTCTCCCTCTCTCTCTCTCTCCACTCCCCCCTACCCCCAAGGAATAACCACAGACTTTCATTTTATTACCATCCTGGAAAAGGCACCAATCCAAACCCACCCAGCCAAAGGGCGAGCCTCGCCTCACTTAGCCTTCTGCTCCACGCTGACCCAGGCTTAGTGGGGATGTCTGTAGTTTGGGTATTGGGTTTTCTTTTCAGGCACCTCCTCGTCATAGGGTTCCGTCCTGAGTGCTAGAGAAACAGCTGCCTAGCTGGATCTCGGAGCGGTTTTCCGCGGTGCATGAAGCTCCAGCAGGCTCTTGAAGATTGGGTCTCTTTTAGGCTGGCGTCTTGTGAAGGTTTGATGTGTGCAGAATAGAAAAAAACAAACAAACAACCTCCCCCCCACCCCCAGCCTATTATCCTTGTTCCCATACCTAAAGCTGATGGTCCTGGGCTTTCTCATGAGCGTTTTCATGCAATGGTTTCACAATACAAGTGGCCTCCCCTCTGCCTTCCAGAGTGGAGGTGAACGGACAGTAGCTTCCAAACCAAAAAAATCTAGTAAATAACCTCCCTCTCTCTTCCTCCCCTAGTTGTGTGACCTAGGACAAATTACTTAACCTCTCTGTGCTTCAGTTTCCTCATCTGAAAAATGATGGGTTTGGACCCCGTGACCTCTGAGGTCTCTTCCAGCTCTAAATCTGGGATTTTGTGATGCAAGACTTGCTCTATGGATCAGAACTGCAGGGAGATAGTAAAAAGGCATGGTTAAGGCTGTAACATTATGCTTTCTGGTGGTTTACACTTTTAAGTCCTTGTCTTCTTGGAAATTGCAGTGCAGCTGGTTGGATTCATTTAAATCCCCTTGTCTGCTACTCTAAATTCTTTCTCAGAGGAAGTGGGGGGCTGACTGTGCATTTCTTTATGGGAAAAGAAAGTTGAAGTCGGGCTTCTTTGGCTTTCAGGCTCATAGAAAGGTGATTACCAAGCTGGGGTGCACTAATTTGGGGAGCTCCCTGAACTGTTGGAGATGAGTGGCATGGTGTGTGTGTGTATGTATGTATGTCTAAGTGTGTATATATGTACATATGTATGTATTGGCAAGTGTGTAGGGCTGAAAAGAAGGCAGTAACTCTTGGTTTGTGGGATTTTGCTGAGTGTTCATTGAATAGCTTGCCTGCAGAAATATTTTTGGTTGTCTCTTAAAGGGAAAGTAGTTATATATATCCTGACGCTCAAGACAGCAATATTTAGAAGGTAACAAATGATGATTTTATGTTGAGACAAGATACGTTTAAAAAAAGGTCTACTTTTAAAATAATTTACTCAAAATGTAAGCAATTGACATCTTTACCACAATCATTTTAGAATGCAATTCATTCAGTGGCAGACACTACTAACTAATGCATATATTGTCCTAGTTGTGGTGGTTTTTTATGTTTTAGTTCAGTTTAAATTTATTGTGTGCCTATGTTGTGTATCACTTAATACTACTAGGTGATTTGGGATGGGAGTTCAAAATGCATCATGTAGCAAGCATTTATTGAACTCTTAGCTATATAGTAAGTGCTGTTGGAGGATAGAAAGAAGAAAAACATGAACCTTGTTTACAGCAACCGTATGGCACAAATTCTCTATGACAGTCTTGATTTCATAGAAATAAAATGTACTTCTAAGGAATATCCTTTGTCAAAGAATGTGTTTTGATTCAGCTAATTGGGTGGTCCTCCTTAAGGGAGTTTACAATGAGTTTACAAGGGCTCTAAAATCGAATTCAAACAAAATAGAACAATATTCAGAAAGTAGATGGTAAACACAAGCAAGATAATGTGAAACTTGTAAACAAAGGTAAGCAACCTGAAGTGCCTTGCATTGGCTCTGCAGAGTAAGTTGATTGAAGGTTTCCTGAGGTGAGATTCTAAAGTGGTTGTCATTTAGGAGAGGGGAAGTTGAGGGAAGGTGGGAGAGTAAGGAGGAACTCATAGGACCAGTTAGAGCAGGCTTCTTTGTCAGGAACAGAGTAAGAGTGGGTTGAGCAGTAACAGGAAACAAACATGGCAAGGTGGGAGGAAAAGAGTTGGTGGTGAGCTGCTATCACTGATTTTTTTCCTAAGATAGTAAGTCAGATTAGAGATGGTTGGTGGTATGAAACTTCCAGCTAGCTGAATGAAACATTGTTTGCTGTAAGGCGTAATGTTAGTAGTATTTAAAAAATAAGCAGGCTTATGTACCCTTCAAAATTCAAAAGCATTGCTTAGAAAAGAATGATCCCCAAATCTTTTTCTATAGTGTGCATGTCTCTTGGTGAGTCAGTGCAATTCAGCAAATGAATGTTTGCAGAGTACCTACTATGTGCAAGAAAAGCTATAGGCACTGTGAATGTAAAGATGAAAAATAATAGTTTTTGCCCTCAGAAAGCTTGCATTCTGTATATGTGTGAGGAGATTGTCTGAGTGGCAATATAACAAGCACATGGACAAGTGAATACAAGGTAATTTGAGGAGGAAGAGAGTATTAGGGGATTAGGGTAGGCCTATTGGAGGTGACATATTGGTGTAGCATTGAAAGTATGTAAAAATTCCAAGAGGAACAGAGTAGGAATAGTATATTCTAGTTTGTGCAAAAACGTGGAAGCTGGATATTTATAGGAAACAACTAATATCTTAGCTTGGTTCAAATATATATATTTTTACATTTTATTTTATTTTTCTCAATTACATATAAAAATTTTAACATTCATTTTTAAAAATTTTGAGTTCCAAATTCTCTCTCCTTCCTCCACCCCTTCCTTGAGAAGGGAAGCAATTTGATATAGATTACACATGTGAAGTCGTGCAAAACATATGTCCATATTAGCCATGTTGCAAAAGAAAACAGATCAAAAACAAAACAAGAAAAATAAGGAAATTTTTAAACAAGTGTGCTTGTATCACTATTAAGACTTCAGGTTGGCTCAAATATAAAAAGCATGGGTAAAATAACATTAAATATGACCAGAAAGGTTGACTTCAGCCAAATTGTGGAGGATCTTAATGCTAGACCAAGTAGTTTTTATTTTATTTGAAGGGTAATAGGGAGTCATTGAAGCTTGAGCAGGGAAATGTCATGACTAGACTTGAGCATTAGGAAGATTATTTGGTCAGCTGAGTGGAGGATGGATCCAAGAAGGAAGAGACTCCAAGAGGTGTAAATGGAGAGAAGGAGGCAGATTGGACAGACAAGATTTAGCAACTGATTGGATATGGGAAGTAAGGGAAAGGGAAAGGTTAAGAATGATTCTGAGGCTACCAACATGGGTGATGAAGTAAGTAGTTTATAATGTCCTCAATAAAAATCTAACAGAATATTACCTCATTTGAAGTTTTTAATGTTGGTCATCCAATTCTAGTAGAAAGGATTTCCTAAATGTTGTGAGGACTTGGTTTTCCATTGTACTTTAATGGAAGAATAAATATTCATCAAATGCCATGAAGATGACTCTATGCTGCATCAGAGTAACACTTTACAAAGGTCATCTCCTAGGGGAGGATTTGCTGGAAGCAATTCATTTAAATGAAAATATCATGGAATATGTTTGCAAGTACTTTATGTATCTATGTGGAATTTCTATTTAAATATCAGTAAACATATGGCTAATATGAGACCTCTGAGATTTTTGGAGGAGTTTTGTATAATATAGAATGCCAGAGCTGGAAAGAACCTTAAAGATCTCCTAGTCCAGTCCCTTAATTTTATATATGAGTGAAATAAGGTCCAGTAGCTGAAAGTCTCTTGGCCAATATCACAAAAGTGATAAATGGCACCGCTAAACCTTAAATGCTTCAATGCCAGTGAGTAGAGTGCTGGGCCTGGAGTCAGGAAGACTCATCTTCATGAGTTCAAATCCAGTCTCAGACATTTACTAGCTATGGTGACTCTAGGCAAGTCACTTAACCTCAGCTTGCCTCAGTTTCCTCAACTGTAAAATGAGGATAATAATAGTACCTGTCTCCCTGGGTTGTTGTGAGGCTCAGATAAAATATGTGTAAAGCACTTAGCACATTACTGAAATATAGTACGTGCCATATAAATGCTAGCTACTACTGCTACTGCTATTCCTGCTGCTGCTACTACTATGAAATTCATGCTTCTTTTTGAATTTGCTTTGGAATGTGGCACCAACTAAAAGATCAAGCATAAATTAATTTCCATTGAGTTTACTTGTTTTGTGGCTTACCTATTTGGTATTTCCAAATCTATTTGAACATGTCAATAGCTAGTGTTAAATGACACATTTATAGTCAACAATTATATTTGCTGTATATAGTTCTTTTGCTCTGGTATTTTATATTATAGTTGTTCATGCGTATAGTATGTTCAGTTACTGAATTGTAAGTTACATGTGGGTAGAGATCTTGTCTTATTTAATTTTTTTCTGTACGCTAATGCACAATGCTCTACCATAAATGTTTGTGGTTGGTAAGACA